CGTTATTTTTCGAAACATTTACAAATGTCCTTCTACAGCACGTAATCCATCGTGTTGATATCATGAATTTTTTGAATCAATTCCGTTGGACTGCGTATCTTTGGGTGAATGTTTAATGCAACTTTTATCATTGAGTTAGCGTTATATGTATATATTTTTCAGAACAAATTCCCCATTTCCAGCCTTTCAATTGTAAAGTCGCTATTAGCAGGTAACCTAATCCTCTTTGGCATCACCACCTACCTTTTTTCTGATGTATCTCTCGGAAAATCTCGAGAAAAAGCAACACCTTTGTATATACGCCATCAAAAGACGTTCCACTCCTTTGTACCTTTTGAAGATGAAAACTTCACGTAGAGCGTCTCGCTGAGGAAGGCATTTAAATATTAAACTTAAGCAGATTTGCTCGCATAGGTCTACTGAGACGTTACCCGGTCTTCTGTTGTAATATCCTGGCACACTTTGCGGTCTTTGCGAAGAGCTCGAACCGAGTAGGTTATTACTTCTGCTCTATTATTTGTACGCCTTTCAGTCGCCTTCTCGGTAAACACAGCAAGGAGGTATTAGGAAAAAGGACAGTCTTTGTAGTATTTTCGAGCAGCTAGGTAGCTGAAAACAACCCTTGAGTGCAGATTGGAAATATCTGGAGCGAGGCTGGGCCCTGTCGTTCACTCCACGCCAGTGTAGCATATGAATTTGACATTTAATAGGTTGAAAAATACATAATTCTGCAGAATTAAGCGCCTCTAGGGCTCATTGTACCATAGACATGTTGACATACACATACCAAAAGTTAATTGTCGTAGCTCATCTTAGATATGTTTCAGTTAGTTTAAACCAATTTGCCGTTTTTTCATATTCAACCTTTCTCTTTGACGATTTGTTGTAAACAGTTATGAATTTTGGCCAAACCAAAAACTTTATCCAGTACTTTCCAGTTTTTCAACTGACCATACACTCGATACAGTCGGTTGAAGTTATCTGATTGGAGAGAGTCAAGCACCAATAATAACAGTTTAGCTAGTTTCTTCTGTTATCAGTAGTTTTGAGTGTTTGACTAGCTGAAGCTGAAACCAAATTTCTACGTTATTCAGATTGCACGGCTGTAACAATAAATGTAACTCTTGCAATTAATGCCGGACCAAGCAGATTGTTCATCTTGATCCCTTTCATCCGCGTATTAAATTAATCCCTTTGGATTTCTGACCTAAGCCGTTTCACCGCAAGCATTACGCACTATCCCCACAACCGCTATAAAGACATACGGCCGCCCCCATATAACAAGCAGCCAGTAGCGTACCAACAGTTGAGATTACAGGGGGTCACCACTGTGGCATCCAGAAACAAATGTACGTCCATTTAAACTTCACTATGTGTCTGAATGAGTATGCAAAGTTCTGTTTACACAACTCGATCCAAATAATGAACCTCCACCGTGTATGACTCCCCATGGTAAAACTAATAGCATACTAATTTGGAAGCAGTGCGTCTGTCTCTGCGTTTTCTTAATAGTGATCGCTGAACTTGAGCAAATGGGAATTACAACACTGCTATCTACACACTGTCAGTGTTCCATTATAATTTCTTGAGTTGAGACACTATTTTCGTTTTTTTCATAAAATAATTTTTGAGCAACCGTGTACATCCCAATAATTTTCAACAGGACTGCTCAGAAAACCGTAATGATATTATGACAGATGCGGGTTCCAGAAGAGACGTAACAGATCTAATATTTAATGGAAATGTCGTGGCTAATACTTCTTTCTAATCGCTTGCCCCACGATTTTGGGAGAATGCTTGCCGCTTGCCTTATGATTTTGAGGGGACCGGATGCCTCACGATTTTGGGGTGTCGCTTGACCCACGATTTTGGGGTTCCACTTGCCTCACGATTTTGGGGTGCCTCTTGCCTCACAATTTTGGGGTGCCGCTTGACATAAGATTTTTTGTGTGCCGCTTGCTGCACGATTTTGGAGAACTGCTTGTCCCACGAATTTGCAGTGTATTACTTGCCTCACGATTTTGGGAGACCGCTTGCCCCATGATTTTGCGGGACCGCATGCCTCAGGATTTTGGCATGCCGCTTGCTCCACGATTTTTGGGTTCACCTTGCCTCACGATTTTGAGGTTCTACTTGCCTCACTATTTTGGAGTGCCTCTTGACCCAAAATTTTGGGGTGCCGCTTGCCCCACGATTTTGCTGTGTCGCTTGCTCCACGATTTTGTCGCGTTTAATATTTCTTTCTAATCGCTTGCCCCACGATTTTGGGAGACCGCTTGCCCCATGATTTTGGGGGACCGCATGCCTTAGGATTTTGGCATGCCGCTTGCTCCACGATTTTTGGGTTCCGCTTGCCTCACGATTTTTGGGTGCGTCTTGTCTCACCTTATTGGGGTGTCGCTTGGTCTACGAATTTGCGGTGCCGCTCACCCTACGATTTTCTGGTTATCACTTGACTCACGATTTTGGGAGGTAGCGCTTGCTCCACGATTTTGTCGCGTTTAATATTTCTTTCTAATCGCTTGCCCCACGATTTTGGGAGACCCTTGCCCCATAATTTTGGGGGACCAATTGCCTCACGATTTTGGAATGCCGCTTGCTCCACGATTTTTGGGTTCCACTTGCCTCACGATTTTGGGGTGCCGCTTGCCCCCACGATTTTGGGGTGACGCTAGATCCACGATTTTGGAGAACTGCTTGCCCCACGAACTTGCGGTGCCGCTCCTTACGATTTTATGGGTATTACTTGCCTCACGATTTTGGGAGGGAGCGCTTGCTCCACGATTTTGTCGCGGTTAATGTTTCTTTCTAATCGCTTGCCCCACGAATTTGGGAGACGGCTTGCCCCATGATTTTGGGGGACCGTATGCCTCAGGATTTTGGCAAGCCGCTTGCTGCACGATTTTTTGGTTCCGCTTGCCTCACGATTTTGGGGTGCGTCTTGCCTCACCTTATTGGGGTGTCGCGTGATTTACGAATTTGCGGTGACGCTCACCCTACGATTTTCTGGTTATCACTTGATTCACGATTTTGAGAGGGAGCGTTTGCTCCACGATTTTGTCGCGGTTAATATTTCTTTCTAATCGCTTGCCCCACGATTTTGGGAGACCGCTTGCCCCATAATTTTGGGGGACCACTTGCCTCACTATTTTGGCATACAGCTTGCTCCACGATTTTTGGGTTCCACATGCCTCACGATTTTGGGGTTCTACTTGCCTCACTGTTTTGGAGTGCCTCTTGACCCAAAATTTTGGGGTGCCGCTTGCCCCACAATTTTGCTGTGTCGCTTGCTCCACTATTTTTGGGCAATGTCAGAGAGTTCGGAAAAATGTAGTATTGCTTTATGGTGATTAATGGCTACTGCTGTTACAAAAATAATGCACTAGCCCGTTTCTTCTGATTCTAATAAGCCAAACGCTTTTTCAAAAGGCTTGGTTGCGAGATCATTATTGGCAGTCGCGATAGCAGAAGGTTTTTGAATATATAGTGTGATGCTAGAGAAAAATCAACCTCAATGACATAATAATAAGGAGTCTGTATCGCTGTATAGGATAATAGTAGTACGTTACATACCTTGGTGGAAAGGTAGGCCATCATTGGCAATTTAGTGAGGATTTTATATTCTCGGGCGCGTAGCACCTTGACCGAGGTGTGAATAGTATAACAAGGAAAGAATTTGTAATGATGTAGAGTGTTTGATTTGCAACAGTGGAACATGACTCTTGCTGATCTTAGCTGTGTTTCTTCAACCAGAATCTGACGTTTCTGGTACTCCACGAAGTATAGCAACATGTCTTAACATTAGAGAGATACTGCTTTAGGTCTATTTTTTGTTGATGCCAGTATGTATCTAAAGAGAGTAAAGCTCAGCAGCATGAAAAAGTAACAATTGAGTGAATGTAGCTTTTGAGCATAGGTTTATCGCATTTTTATTCACATTTGATACTGTTAAACAATCACTTCCTTAAATTATGGCAGGTAAAATTTCCATAATTGTCCAACTTCGCGAATAGTAGCACTTACACTTCCTCGTGAAGTTGCTAGCTACGCCGTTGGTTGGCAGAAGGAAATAGCGAAACCGTAATCGGCTTTTATCTGGTCCGCTCTTATCGCTTTCGACCATTATGCGACCTTCGGTAGACAGACGCGGACCAGCTTGCCGGAGCCTAATTATAGGACATCAGATTAAGGGGGAGAAATGCGGAGGAGGGGTCACTCGGGGCTAATTTGCTCCAGATATCTCACAGGCAAAAAAGGTGCTTCTAAATGATTTCATTTCCCGCGTTGGACGATTTAGATTTATTGCACTGTTAAGAAAAAATAATTGAATGGGTCGAGTGACGAGGTCTGGGTCAAAAACCTCATCATGCAACGGTCATATGTCGGAATATCCAATAGCGTTTGTGAGTAAGGACCTTCTAGATATAGTACTGAAAAAGTAGGAACAAACTGGCCATTCTGCTTCAGTCTGCATATTTAATGATGTTGTGACTGGTGTTTGGTATATTTTTGTGGACAATTCACATTCAGAGTGAGAGTATAAACACTGAAAAGTGGTATCTCTACATGCACTTGTCTTTTTTCGATACATACATGGTTCATATTCAAATTGTAGATGGAGAATATTTGATATCGATGACTCAAGTTAGACTTTAATTGGAATAATTTATACATATTTTATTCGTTCTTGACATGTTGAATTATAATTAAGTTTCCTAACTTTTACCAATAGACCATGAATCAGGGTCATATTAAACTGCTTCTCCGAAATAAATTAAAGCCATTATTAAAACAATCTTGAATGTTACTGAAATCAGTAACCGCTGGAGTCACCATCTGAATCGTAGTCTACAATGACATCATTTCACGTAATAAAAATAACAGTTTAACTGACAATACCTCATGTGCAAACGGGAATAAAATAATCAAGTCCCAGAGAAAACAGTCTAAAAGCTGCAGACATGTCAACAGTTTTCAACTTTGTATCTTAATTTTTTCAGAAAAGAACTTTGCATTTTCAAAGGCATATGTTGGGAGGCTAAACAAGGTTTATTGTCCTCCTGTGTGAATTGATTGTCCCCTGCTGGAAGGAAAATGAGGTTTCTCCGTAATGCGATAAGTAACATACGTGTCCCGAGGGATAGGAAAAATCTAGAATGAAAAAGAGGGTGTCATTATGGAGATCGAACTTGGGTATGAAAGGCCTTGACTTCGATGAAAGAAAAAGGTAGCAGGTATAAGGGAACAAAGGATAAAGTACTTCCTTATATTCGCCCACTTGATAGTTATTATAGAGTAAGATTTCAGAGCTGGCAGTCACTACTTACTTTTAACAAAGGATAATCGTGGACATGTCCGCAATAAAGGAACGTTAGCAGAAATAGAAGGACTGGTAACCCGAGCGACGTACGTTCCTGCTTACTGGCTTCATCAGGCTCAAATGGATGTGCATCGATAACACTGAAGTAAAAACATATGTCGATTAGATTTGGATACGGATGTAGCCCAAAGGAAAACAAGGATGGATTTGAAAACAACTAGAACAAGAGCCGTCAGGCACATGTGTGGCTTCAGTCAGAGGACACAAGTTATCAGCTGATGTCGTCACGAATTTTTCTATTGCTGCAATTTCAACATCGAAAAAATAATTATGTCTTTGGTGTAGATTATCATATTGACTTAAAATTTCGTATTTGTAGCACTAACATGGTATCCAATACATACATTTTTGCGACTGGAACTACACCAGTGGGTAGAGAATGGGAGATGTTTGATCCCTTTAGAAGAAAAAAAAACGAAACTTCCTCAACTGCGTCGACTTTCTTGAAACATCTGCTTTGTTTTCAAATCAGGTATTAAAGTTCACCAGATTCGCGTCTCGCTAGATACTTATCAGTCTACTTGTCTAGGAAAAAAATTGATCGATTTCTGTCTGTCCGTATGTCATGTGACTCCACGTTAACTAGCAAGTGGGTTGTTCCATAATCTCAATACCCTAGGGACAAAAGAGCGGTCGTATCGGCCAGTTCTGGATGTACGCAGTTCGACACTGCTAGGATAGGAGGCCGAAGTTAGGCGGGTCTGTTTGGCAGGCACGTCGCGCAAAATCTTGAAAATCTTGAAAATATGGAAAATCTTAAAAATCTCGAACAGATCGAAAATATCGAAAATCTCGAAAAAATCGAAAATCTCGAAAAAATCGAAAATATCAAAAATATCGAAAATCTCGAAAGTCGAAAATCTCGAAAATATCGGTTATCCCGAAAATCTCGGTTATCTCGGGAATCTCGAAAATATCGGAAATCTCGAAAATCTCGAAAATATGGATAATATCGTAAATATCGGTAATCTCGTAAATCTCGTCCCGTATACTTCGAAAATCCCGAAATAATCGAAAATACCGAAAATCTCACAAATATACTAAGTGACATATAAATCCGAACACCCAGTTTAAATGGTTTTATTTTAATAAAATTTTGTATAAGTACTCAATGAAGCATAATAAGTAAATGATAAAAATTTCAAAATTATTGCACTGCTTTAAAGCCCTGTGACCTTTAATAATGTGTGGATGCACCCTGATGTGCTACGCATTCTCCAACGCGCCTAAGCATGCTTCTGATCAGGTGGTCAATGTCCTCCTGTGGTATCTCATTCCAGGCAACCACCAACTCCTCTCGAAGTGCTTCTAGAGTCTGAGGAGGACGTTGCAAATTGAGCAATCTCCTACCCATCATATCTCACACGTGCTCAATTGGGGATAAGTCGGGAGATCTTGGTGGCCATGGTAACAATGTGACATCATTATGTTGAAAGAAGTCTATTGTGACTCTTGCAACATGTGGTCGGGCATTATCTTGTTGGAAAGTTGGATCTGCCAGGGTATCAAGAACTTCGTGGATATAACGCTGCGCGTTCATGTTACCTCTGACGAAGATTAAAGGTGACCTGGAACCAAAAGCTATAGCACCCCAAACCATAACTCCAACAGTGTGATGAACATGTCTCTCAACAAAAAACTGTGGATTCCTCCTTTCACCACGTTGCCTTCTAACCCTGGCACGACCATCGTGCATGCCTAAGCAAAATCGAGACTCGTCACTAAAGACAATACTCTTCCATTCCTGATCTCAGAGTGACCGTTGTCTGCACCACTCAAGGCGATTACGTCGGTGTTCTCGAGTTAAAGGGAGGACCCAGTGTGGCCGGTATGAAAACAAGCCAAAACTTCTCATTCGTCGGTAAACACTTCACATGCCAATAGGTCTTCCGTGTTCTGCAAACCATTCATTTGCAATGGACCTGGTAGTGGAGAAACGGTCCCTTAAGGCCAATAATCTTAGGCGGCGATCTTCACGGTCTGTTGTTCTACGGCGGCGTGCAGTGCCCCTTGCTTTTTGCGTACGGCCTTCTCGAAGCCATGCCTGACAACACCTAACCACAGTGTCTACACTTCTTTGCACTCTAACTGCAATTGCCGGAAAAGAAAGTCCAGCTTCCCGAAGTCCCACTATACGGCCCCTATTAAACCCACTAAGTTGACGGAATCGTACAGGTCTCCGTACTCTAGGCATCGTAACCGATCATAAAGGATGTCAAGAACCAAAATCCGCCAACGTTGATTCTTTACTGCGGCTGAAATATTCATTTTTACAGCATTAGTGAATTAAAAAAAAGCAGTATAAAAACCGGAATGACCAACTGATAGGGCTGAAAAATTTTTCACTTGTTATTTACAGTAAGATAAGTACATTCACCAACTTTTATTAAAATAAAACCATTTAAACTGGGTGTTCGGATTTATATGTCACTTAGTATATCAAAAATCCCGTTTATCTCGATAATATCGAAAATCTTGAAAATCTCGAAAATATCGATAATATCGAAAATCTCGATAATTTCGAAAATCTCGAAAATAACGAGAATTTCGGAAATCCCGATCATCTCGGAAATCTTGAAAATCATGAACATCTTGAAAATTTCCAAATCTTGAAAATCTTGGAAATTTCCAAATCTTGGCAATCTTATAAATTTTGAAAATTCCTGTAGGTAGGTTCTGTCAGCATCAAAGCATTGGATCGGATTGATCGTACAGGAGACGAGGTAGCTGATATGTAAAAGCAACACTGTCGGAGTCAAGACTTGATTTTGTCATTGTGAGATGAAGGCACTGTCCGATGGATAACTTGCAGCCAGAAGAAGACAACCACCCATCTGCAAAGCTTTTCCGGGGACTACAGGATGGAAGTTTGCATTAGAGGGCAGTGTGCCACAGCTGATCGAACGCTTGCCCGATCCGCTTCTTAACATGTCGGCTCAAAGTCAAACGGTAAACGGTAACTAGCTGTTACGTCATATAAAGCTGCTCAAAGAAAAAAGGAAAATTCACGGTGAGAGGCAAAAAACTGTCTCTCAGGCTAGACAAAATTGAGAATAAGAAAGTAGCTCTTCGTTATTGGATTGCAAGCCCTGGTGCGTGAAATCCGACGGTAACGGCACGTATGAAAAGTTGAACTCAGTGGCTGCTCCGCACGTTGTCCACAACCGCTGTTTACTCACAGGAATCGGTAGCTGAAGTTGTCGCTTGTGACTTGACGTTATATTAATATAATTGACACTTTGAGATATGTGAACACCTCAAGGCTAAGGATGGCATCAAGCAGCCATCATGAAGTGGCAGTTATGAAGAATTCTGTACCGAAGGTTTAAACTTAAAAAGTTTGTTACAATTTCGTAATTTTGTAAAGCAATCAAACGACGGAAAATCGCCGACGTTACATTAATTTAGGACAGATGCAACTAAACTCTCGCGTAGTTTTTTACGACGTTCATTTTACGAGTCGTATCAAAAACTACTCTAAGTATTTTTGCAGACTCAGAAAACTCTAAAACTTAACTTCGTTATTGATAGAAATCTTAGTGAGATGAAGCAGCATTTTCTTTTTTTTTCATTATATAAAATAGTATTTAGGATGTTTACGGATTTATTTTCAAATTGTGAATAATATTGTATCATCGCTATGTAAAATATTTGTTATACTATCTACTTAATTTGGATTTAAACTATGTATAAAAAGTATAAATTAAAAACAGTATGGGTCCTAATATAGAACCTTGAGGCACACCAGAAGGTATGAACGATGTTGACGACAATCTTTGGTTTAATGAAACACACGCAGTTCTGCCATGAAGATAACTTCCAAAAAAAAACCGTGAGTGGACCGGTAAAAGATTCTTTCCGGTTTTGGAAGGTCTGATTCGAATTCAATTCAATCCATAACCGGCTCGGGAACTTCCTGTTTTTTTGGCATTTCGACGACGCTCTCGAACCCTTTGCAAAAGATATAAAGAGACACGACACCTTTGCCCTATGCCCAAAGTTACGATCTTTCAATACAATCTCTGCCCGTTCTATTGTTTGTTTCCCCCACCACTGGAAGGTAAGCATTTGTGCATAAGTAACGTGCTGGGACGGATGACGCAAAGTGTGGAAGCCGGAACAGGTGAAAAATTGATTCTTGGAAATGGGAGGCGCCCTGGGAGACATCCAACGTCGACTTGACTCAGACACCGACGGTGTCGTTTGCACGTGTTTCGCTGTCGGTGTCGCATTGACGAGTCGTTACGAGAGCGTTGAGGATGTCGGGACGTTAATGGGGGTAATGGAAAGGTACAACTTTACAGTACAATTTGATTCTTAGCGACGCGTCGGTGACAGGATCGCCATACAGAGCGTTGTTGGAAAGGGCCAGGCACAAAACATCGAGAGAATTTGTCTCAGTTAATATGATACATTTCTTGCCTTCCCCAACGAAACCGTTCATGGGATCAAAGCAATCCTATGATTACTTTCTGAGAAATACTAGAAGGAATATTTTGTTTAGACACCTTGTAGGAAGGTGTTGGGTGTGCCTTGTTGATCGTAACCATGATCCTTACAAGACAAGTTGTTTTTTATATGTTTATGCTGGAATAGATCCGGCACGAGCTGCCAAGGAACTGATACTCCACAAGTCAATCACTGGCTAGGAATTCTCCACCTAGCGACGAAGCTTAGCGTATAAGTCGGCCTTCAGGATTTCGCGTTTTAAGACAAGCAGCACCGACTCAGTGCTGCCAGTAACTTTCATTTGTATACCCATAACGCTTGAGTTGTGTAGAATTGGT